CGACGCAGATCTTTGTATAAATACTTGTACTAATGAATAACATATAGTTTTGTACTACTTGCACCCCTGAAGATGATCTTGGAGGAAGATCGAAAGTACTTGGGAAATGCAAATAAAAGAAATCTAAACAGCTATAGCACATTTCTCTTATCCTTTAACAACAAAACACGGAAAATTATTCGTGAGCACGAACGGACTTTGTTAAAAATTAGCAGACATAATGACTGTAATTTATTCAATCAAACATGCTTAAAAGAGAATTTGCTGCCTAAATACACACACACGCACGCACATATACATACATACATACATATATATTATTTATTATAAACAGAGCATTTAGTTAAATATTTGTATCTATAAAAAGAATGTATAAATATAAAAATGTCTTAAAATAATTGTTGGACTTTGTCCCTTACATAATGTGTGATGTCATTTGTTTACATTTGATACGCCATGAGCAGATATGAGTGTACGGGTATGAGTGGAAGATTGAAGTTTAAATACAGTAAATTCGACCTTGCTAACCGAACGCTCCTTCGTGGCCAAATCGGTAAAGGCACGTCAAGCTAAATGACGGTTCCGTGTAGGATACAGGTTCGAATCCTGTCAGAGAACAACTGTTTTATGTGAAAATTTCTCGGACATCCAGGTTCTTGTGAAGGAACTTTCGAAGTAGAACAGTCTTCTTTACAAATTAATACGTGCGGAATGAAGGTGATTCAACCCGTGAATGTATCAGGGAGGATCTTGGCTGTAAAGATCTAAACTGTCGGCACTTATGAATGAGACTCTTTGGAACATCTGCCATGGAGAAAAGCGATAGTATAGAGACAATATAGAGACGCTATATACGCTTGGGCGATCATGTGCCATCCGATTCATAAATGACTAGGCAGAAAATTTTCTTGGAATCGGCTACCATTTCTTTCCGTGGTAGACTAGTTACCAACCAAGGTAACAAACGTTCTAGTTAGTCCTACTATTCACCTCATAACTGCGAGGAAAAGAGATGGGTAAATACCTTTCCCAAGAGTATTTTTCAGGTATATGAATGTAATGAATCCGACTGGAATCCGAACTCGGCTCTCCGAGTTTTCATTCCGAGCCCCAACGCATATATATATATTTTTTTACAAAGAAATAATATTCACACTGTACAAAGCCAAAGAGCCACTAGAGGCTACATAAAGAAAAAACTTTAAAAGGAAAAGGAAACCAATCCTAAACAGGAAACAACGGACAAAGATCTACTCCTGTTCAAAAGACCGAGGAGGAGTATAAGCCGGGCGATAGGCGATCCTATTTACTCCTATTAATGGTAAAAAAGTAAATATAATAGTAAATAAAATTTCATAGATTAGACGCAGACGCTAGATGTAGGGTTAGAGTTGAGGTAGAGTTTAGGAGGAACCGGAAACCCAATCCTAAACATGGAATAAAACTCTACTGCTGTTCAAAAGACAGTGGAAGAGTGTGAACCGGACGATAAGCGAACCTATTTGCTCCTATTGAGGGTAAAATAAATAAATAGTATAAATTTCAGAGATTAAGAAGAGACTTTAGAAGTATAGAGTTGAAGTAGAATTTAGAAGGAACTGGGAAACCAATCCTAAATGGGAGACAATGGATAGGCTTTTACTCCAGTTCAAAAGAGCATGAAATTTGTGAATCGGATGATAGTTGAAGCTATCTACTCCTATTTACATTATTCAGACTGTTTTCCTCATATTTATTGTCGTATTCACGACGTTTCGACCGTTGTACGCTTCGGCCTTCTTCAGGTGATATACATTTGAATTTCGAACCGAATCCTTGTTTTTTTGCCTCTTTTGTCGTCATGTATTGAAGTCACAACAATTGTATCCTTGGGGACATATTTGCAAGAACACGTCCCAGTGGATAAATGCATTGGTTGAATTAATCCAGTGAATTGATCCAAACAGTTGTGAGTTTAGTGGCCGGAGAATACGACGGCAGAAACATCGTAAATATGATAATAAAGATGAGGACAACAGTTCGAACAATGTAAATAGTTACAATACCTCATCTCAAAAATATAGACTACCTACTGCTATTGAGGAAAATTATAACAAATAACATGTTTTTAGTAAATAAAATTATCATAAATTGTTCAGTTTAGCACGAGAATTTTAACATTTACCTTAAAATGGAGGAACAGTTTACTTCCTAAATATTTAAAAATAAAATCACTTAAATTTTTAAAACGACTTTCAGCGAGAAACTAGCTAAAAACATGAAATTACTTATTATTTTCTGGGGAGCAAGAAGAATAAGCCTTATAGATTTGCGAAGCAATCATCAAATTTAGAATATTAATCAAAATGATTAATGTACAAAGGAAAATAGTGGCAAATTGATGAGTCTTAAGTCATATTTGGAACGTTCCCATGGACTGTAATAGGATGGGAACTTTACCAAAAACAACACTACAAAATCAATTCTTATTTTCTTGCCAAAGGTCATTGTTAACGAAAAGATCAATCAGAAAATTCATTCATACTTTTCATGTACAAATAATTACTGTTGAAAATTTGCACAATCAATCTCAGATGCTAGACAGAGATAAATGTAATGAACATATTTAACAACATTTGTGTTTATAGGGAGATATTTCTTTTGTTTATTGGTTAATTGCTAACATAAAGTAGAAAGATTATATTGAATCTATTGCAAGGTCTACCAGAATATTTGGTTCCCTCTCTTATGCTCGACAATTTTTCCTTCCAAAATATATCTTACAGATATTTAAGTCTACCGTTCGTCCATGCCTTGAATATTGCTGCCACATATGGTCCGGTGCTCTAGCTGAATATTTAGAAATTCTTGATAGAATTCAAAGAAAAATAAGCAATATTATTGGCGTTTCGGCTTCAGTCACTTTCCCGCCGTCGTAATGTAGCTTCCCTGTGCCTTTTCTATAAATACTTTCATCATATTGTTCGGATGAAATTTTCGTTATGGCACCTACACTAGGAATTTAAGCACATTACAAGATAGGGGGCAACGTCTCATTAATTCACACCGGAATTGGCTAGATGTAACCGTAAGTTCATTTTCTTTCCCTGCAGTTATCGTCTGTGGAACTCTCTTCCGGCTCCATGCATTCCAGCCAATACTGATCTTCAAAAATTTAAATACAGTATTATCTACTGTTTTCTTGATTACTCTTCTATTGTTTTTGTTTCTTAATAATGGTTCTCTTTTTCTTATCCATTCACACACAGTAACCCCTTGTGTCTTAGTGGATTTACTATCTTGCTTGAGGTGAAAAAAAAATTACGTCGATTAATTTTATTGATCGACTTTTCCAAATTAAGAATAATCTTTCGCAGATAATTAAGAAATTCTGTCAGAAATTGTCCAAATGTCATTTCGAACCTTCTTAAGTCATCATCGGGATGGGTAGAGACTAATAATGAGTTTCGTAGTTTCGTACCCTGATGATGATAAGTCAAAAGCTTGGACCATATTTATTTCGAAATAAAGTATGAATTTTCTTTCATATATGAGAAGGATTATTCGTAATTTGGAAAGGTCGATCAATAAAATTAATCGACAAAAAATGTCTGTTGTCTTTATTAACATTTGCCTTAAAGAATATTTGCTGCCTAAATAGACACCCATTATATATATATATATATATATATATATATATATATATATATATATATATATATATTATTTAGTTGCAAAATAATGACGTAATAATGTCGTTTTTGACGTTAAAAATACGTCAAAAACGACATTATTACGTCATTATTTTTGCACCAACCTAATATATATATTAATACCATTAAGCGAGAAAATGGTTACGACGTTTCGATTTTAGATAAGCTTTTTGACTAGGCATTTATTTTAATCTTTGTCCTTATGAGAAAAATCGCAATTTAGATGCCGACTTGTAATTCTGTTGAGGTTCAAGAGGGAACATACCTACAGGCAGTACTTCCTTCATTGCAATTAAAGAGTATGTGTCAGCCTCATCCATTTATATCTGAGGCATTTCAAAGGGATATGCCGAGAGAGGCCAACCCATTTTTGTCCCTACCCACATCCATGGTTAGATGGGGGCATATATTAAACCAACCTTGTGCCAAATTTTACCTTCTGCGGAGGTTGACATATAAAATAAATAAAGATGTAAGCGATTGAAACTAATTCCATATTGCAACTTAAAGCGAATTAAAAGATACAGCGTATTAGAAGACTGATTAACGTATCTTTATCGAATGCAGTATTCAGTTGATAATCCAGTTTATCATTTAAGTTTAAAATTAGATATTCTACCAAAGAACAAGTTATAAATTTTATTTACGGCTTCACTTAACAGATAGTCGGCGTCGTTGTCGTCGTCGTCGTCGTCAGAACTCGTTGCCGAGTATTGATGTGCTCATCAACATTTCCTTCTACGTGAAATGAGTCCTATGTTGGATCTGAAGAGATGTCCGCCGCCACTGCATGCTCGTGCAGAATGTTCCAGGGGATGGAGAACTCTGGCTTTTCTTTGAGCTCTCTTCGTCACTTCTATTTGTCTTCTGATGTTTTCGAATGAGATGTTGTTTTTTCGTGGTCTGCACTTCTCCAACTGGTCCTTGACGTGACAAGAAGAAGACGTCTTTTAGAATGAAAGCCTTCGCTGCCGACTTGTTTGAGGTGGCCCATGGGACGCCTACCGACGGCATACACACTTCAGCTGACACCAACCGCTGTAGCAAACTAAGGATTGACAGACAGGTTCATGATAACAGGTTGCATCGCGCTGCCGACTTGTTCTCGTACGTAGAACGTCGCTTTAACCGCCTACCCACTGGGCGTCGGATCGACTTTAGTCTGGTCCCTTCTCTAAATCCTTAGCGCCATGGGTGATCCTACCAGGAGACGGGGCGCCCAACGGCATTGTATTCAGGTTTCTTGAGTCTCGCAAGCTCCTTCACTAACTCTTAATTATTAAATATTCTAGATACTTCAATTGTTATCTTGAAACACCGCTTCCCGTACGTTCACCGAAGTTAAGCAACTTCGAACCTGGTCAGTACCTAGATACGTAACCGCTTTGTAATAACAGGTGCTGTAAGCTTGGGTGTGCGTGTGGTGTACCAGCTGAGAATTGTTAATCGGAGTGCCGAGTTTCAATTCTTGTTGGATTCATTATATTCACTTACCTTCAAATACATTTAGAAAAGGTATAAATCCACATCTTCCCCAAGCTATGGGTTAATAAGTAAGAGTTATATAATTAATCCATATCGCCTCCCCCTCCATCAATTCTTATAATCTAAAAATATTTTCTGGCTTTAAATAACTTTGGGTTGATAAGCCATAAAAAACTAATCGCTCAATCAGTCAATCCTAAATCATCAATTCTATGACCGAGTGTAGTCGTAGTGTCGCTGAGCAACTGAGTACCTGACAGGTTCTCGTCCCGCTCCAAGTAAAACCTCAGCAAATGTCATCCAACAGGATACCTTCAGGTTGAAATCTCCATGCTGGTCGTTAATTTCAGTGTAGGAAGCCTTCTTCACTGCGATGCCACGTCATAAACCATCTGGTAGCATCCATAGGTAGAATGCCCCGTCTACTTCATTGCACTAGATGATCATTGACCCTACAAGAAAGTTCACCTGCCCTTCAAATAATATACTGATTATTTAATAATTAATCAAATAATATACTTATTAAAAACAGACCTTTTCATCTTTTAATATATATTCAAGTCCTGATCTGAAACAAGACGATCGCAAAGAGCGTGAAACCCAGGGTCACAAACTCACATCAACCCAACTATCTATCTATCTATCTATCTATCTATCTATCTATATATATATATATATATAGATATAGATAGATATACCTAGTGAGCCAGACAAACCAACCCAGGTTTTACCTAAGCGGATCGTCAGGGAAAGCTGGTTGAAGAGGCAAAAGAGAAACAGCATATTTATAGGCGATAATCAAAATCATACCACGTGACCAAAGAAAAAGAAAAAGAAAACAAGAAAAAAGAAAAAAAAGAAAAACACAACACCGGGGGGGGGGGGTAAAGATTTATTCAAACGACTAAAAGGGGATATTTAAGAAAACACGAACAATAAAGGTGGAATGACAATACAAACAGGGGAGATTAGACCTAATTCAACAACCAAGATTTTCTATGCCTGCATATGTTAAATATCTCGGTTTTAGAGTTTAATAGATCGTTTGGTTGATTATAAAAAGCTATGGCTAATTTCTCCTCAGTACATAGCTTACAAAATTTTTCGTGTCGGGTTTTTTTTCTTTGGGCTTTAAACCTGTATCTGTGCGATTTTTTTCGTGTTTCTAGCTCTTTCTTTTTTTAAAACCTTTTTTTCCTTCGAGATTGATTTGATTATTGGCAAATCAAAAATTCGAAGGTTTTTCGAAACGAGTATAGCTACATATATATATATATATATATATATATAATCGACGTATGAGGGTCAGGCCGATAAGTTTCCAGGAAACCGACGTCGGCACATGAGATTTGATTATAGTGGTGAAGGCCTCGTGCAGGACCAGCCACACTTTTTGGAGGGACGAATACAGAAACCTGGTGCACCGAATGCCACAAGGTTCCCAAACGACCCTCCGCAGGTTTTGAATTCAGAGTTGTCCTTCTCCTAGACCAGTTGCCATCCAAGGCTATAGAACCCAGTCTGTCCTGCTATTTTACCCATAGCTGGAGGGAGATGAAGAGGATTCATACCTTTCCCAAGGGTATTAGCACGTAAGTGAATGTAATGGATTCGACTGGAATTCGAACTCGGCTCTGCGATTCCTCAGTCCAAACCGCTATCCATTACTCCACCGTGCCTCCTATATATATATTCTATCTAATCATCCTGTGTATAGTAACTAATAGATAAGAAATGCAATATTAAAATCACAGGTTGTTGTCATCTTACGATCTATGCGACTTACGACTGTTCAACTTTACGACCCTGAATTGGTCTGTCTGGCCACGACTGACCCGCGTCTAGTAGTGTGAATGTTTCACAGATTGCTGTAAGACAGTTTCTGCGCAGCCTCCGGCAGCGCTAGTATTCATTCGTGTGCCTCAAACTCAGTGTTAGGGCAGCCTAGGTACAACATACTTTCCCCCAATCCATTTGTCTACTCCCCAACCTGCCAAGAAGGAAAGAATGGTTATTGATCTCGACTCAAAAGATGATGGTGATTAAACAGTACGCTGATTAAACTCCACCGGCTTCGAGCCCTGGCCCCCAGCTGATGATATCGACGATGCACAAACAAGCAGCAACGGGTAATAAGATGGTTTTGGTATGTTTTGCACCTAAAATGTTTTCCTTTTTTCCACCTGTATTATTTATGTTTATCAAATATTAAACCAACACTTCTTCAGTATGCAGTGTTTGACCTGAAGTACATAAAAATAAGAAACAAAACAATGTGTAGAGAATTGATGCAAATAGAATCAAACGTAAACAAACCGTAAAAATTCTAAAACATAAAATAACACCTAAAAAGTTTGCAAAATTCATGACAGAACGACTTACGGCTAGATCGGCTGTAACCAATCCTGGTCGTAAGTCGACGATGACATGTATACGAGTCATACATGTCATCTTGCTCTGATTGCAATACAAATATATATTCCAAGGTGTGATCTACGTTTTGATGGCGTCATGATCAAAGAGGGAAAATGGAAATTTCGCTATCTGGGTAATGCCGTAACAGACGATTGAAAATGAGAAATTGCATAGGATTAGCGAAAGACACCTTTCCGAAACTAAGCAAAGTATCAGGACCTGAGTATATGTTGCTAGAAACAAAGAAAAAGCACTTAAATGCTATATATTATTTAATCTCCCATATCGAGGCAAACACTTAGCAATCCCTACGCAGCTGAAGGAGGACCTTAAAACGACAGGATCTCGAATAGGGCAGGTTGATTTGTCATTCTCTTAGAAAAATCAGATTGCACTAACTGTGAAAAATGCTGAAAGATGTTATAAGTACTGATACCAAAACTTAGATTCATAGTTTTATAACTTTTTGAGCATTTAGTTTTAACAATTGACTGAAAAAAATGTACAGAAACACCTAATTTCCGCAGGTTTATGTTTAAAAACTAACTTCAGAATTTTACTCTTTCAAGATAGACTAATGAGTTTTCCTACTTCATATTTCAGATCGCATGAATTTAAGCATACTGTTAGATTAGTAAAAAGGTCTAGTCGTTTTACTGTTTAAATAGCAAGATGTAAACATAAGTTCTATGCCAATGGCTTCTTTTCTCGCACTTCTCCTCTGTGGAACTGTCGTGTTCTTGTTCCCTTTTCACGACCTTTAAAAATTTAAATGCAGTGTCAATTACCATATCTGTCTTTCTGAATCCTTTGTTTTATTGTCCTTTCTCCTCATTAAAGTTTTCTCAGATCTTTTACTTCACAATAACCACCTTGCGTCTTAGTGGCTTTATCGCCTTGCTTAGGGTGAAATGTTCAAAAAAAAAAAAATTCTCGCTCCGTTTCCAAGGAGCCTCTTTCTATGTGTCTTGTCTTTTCAGGACGTGGGTGATCACGGCGCTTCACAGTTTCCTGCGTTTTGTAAGTCTTAGTAAACTTTCTTTTGACTATCTCTCCTAATCCCTATTCTGTCAGTCATTTACACAAGCTCATTTGTGAGGTTATGCACTACTTTCCTTTGTCCGTTTTACTTTCACTATGCCCTGTGCGTGTTAAATTTTCTAAGCCCTCTTTCCTTATTATGCGCTCAAGAAATTTCAACTATATCTTTCTGATGTTAAGTACAAGTATCCTTTTTGTTTCCATTTTCTCGGAAACATCATTTCATTGGTCACATGTTTGGTTCATGGTATTCTCAGCATCATTCTGTAGAACCACATTTCTCTTGTTTCAAGTCTGTGAGGTGATTGTCCAGAATTCACTGCCATACAGGAGGATTGATATTTCATAACTGTTAACTACTCTTTTCTATGTTTCTAATGAGATTTTCCTGTTTCTTAATACTTTGCTTAGCTTTTGGAAGGCATCTATCACTGTCCCAATGCGCGTTCAAATTTCAGTGTAGCACTTTCTGTACTCTGTTAAAACGCTTCCCAGATATTTCATTGCCCACATATTCAGTCCATGATATTCTCAGCATCCTTCTGTAGAAGCATGCTTTTGTTGCCTCAAGATTTTTTCTACATCTGTGAGGTGATTATTCACTGTCATATAGGAGGACCGATATAACATAGTTCAGTACTTTTTTTTTTAAATTTCTAACGAGATTTCCCTGTTTCGGAATACTTTGCTTAGCTTTTGGAAGGCATCTTTCGCCATCTCAATGTGACTTCGGATTTCGGTGCCGACCTGTAATTAAATACTGTTAAAATACTTGCTAGATATCTAAATTTTTGAATTTGAATGATTCTGGCATTTCCAATTTGCAATTCGGATATGAGATTAGAGACAAGGCGTTTAATGTCATGCAGCTGCACGGATTTTATTTGGAAAGTTCCTTGACGAAAACATTGTACTTCTAATTCTAAGCTTATATGACCTTATCAAATGTTGCCTTACTGCCAAGTCACCTTTCTTTTTCAATATTAGATTGGAGTGGGGATAGCAAAGAAGAGAAGAAAAGATTTTTCATATCACAATCAACAGAGTACAATGAATAACGCAAATGGCTTGTTATCATTAAAGACTACTTTCCCCAGCCATTCTATCAACCAACCCCTCACCGGGGAAAAACAATAATTGGCTTGTAACTCAAAGCCGCTTTTCGTTGCCAAGTCTGCCACTACATAGTGCAACTTGGCACCGATCCCTGATTGGGTCTCACCCTTATTAATTACGGAAAATAACTAGACCAAATAAGTGACTTGAGATACATACAAAAGCAGAAAAGAAGACAATTTATCGTCAGACAGAGTTTTGCATTATCTGAAACTAAGCGACTTCGATCTCTGACCGAGACCCTGCGGTAAGGTCCTGTGTCATTTGGATGGCGCTTCTTGAGTCTTGTCCAATATGTATCTAATTCTTGCTAAGACGCCGAACGCCAACAACTCTCTTTTGGTTCGAGT